ACTGCTTTTCATCTTCCCTTTATATTTTAGACCAACGTGACGGTCGTTTCGATTTGCACGTCGAATTCTTCGGAACACTTCAAGGACCCAGAAAAATTTATGCCAGAACGTTGGCTGCGAGAAACAGATGACGAATACTCCTTCAAAAAGGTGAATCCATTCGCGAGTCTTCCATTCGGATACGGACCTAGAAAGTGTATCGGCATGAGATTTGCCAATTTGGAGCTGGAGTTGGTTCTCATTAAGGTAATTACTGACAAGTTTATTGTGAATGGATGTTTTTACGATATTTCTGTTTCGTCGGCCGGAAAGTTAGCCACTTCCTATTTCAGATAAACTGTATTTTTCCAGGTTTCTATTAATTTAATAGAACTCTTTCAACGTCAACATTGTTTGGCCACAACAAATTATATTGATTTTTCATATTGTTTTCTAGATTATGAGGAATTTCGAGCTGTCCTGGGAGCATCCCGATATGGAGTTTGCTTCACAATTATTGTACGGAGTAAGCAATCCATTGAAACTTACTGTAAAAGAAGTGACTAGATAAAAACTGTATTAAGTATGTACTTCTTTGAATTCAAATTTAATAAAAGTGGGGTAATTTTCATAATGTTGTTTGTTTTGCCCAAATTTTGTGCTTCCATCTCGTAAAACAACTTCTGAATTATAAATAACGCACGACATACAACATATAGGTATTCTAAGATATTTCTTTATGGTTATTGTTGAAAGGCTGTTGTTGGACTGCAGATAAACTGAATTATTATGTTATAGATGTATAACTGACAGAAAATTTCCGTAGAACCAAATAAACAGGAATACCTAACACATCGAAAAACTTCTCTCACCCAATAAAACGATGATAGCACCTAACTTAATAGTCATATTCTCGAATATTCCGAAATTTGACGACAAACACTTTCATTGCTCACTGCGGTTACTCAGGGAACATGCTTCCCGAATCCAATTATCGCTGACCCCACGGCTGGCCCCGACCAGCTTAACCTTTAATAAAAATGATAATAATAATGATAATGCGAATCAATCCACTGCCGATGAAGAAGAAATGGCATAGAAGAGAACCCCGTTCAATGTTCAATGTTGTTAGGTCTGTTGCGATAACATATATCGCTGTATGGGGTTGCTCCACATCTATAAATAACATGTTTGTTGGCCAAAAGAGATTATTGCGTTCGACTAATAAATTAGATGCTAGGGAATCTTGTAGACCGCATTTTATCAGAAATAAAATTTTGCCTGTACCCTGCATATACAATACACAAAATTATTCTGAATTTCAGAAAACATTTACACAATCATCTCCGCAATGGGGAATGTTCCTCAATTTGGGTTATTACAGCAAATGCAAGTTTGAACAAAATAAAGTTGAGTTTAATTCATGAGTTTTTCAAATTCAC